GTATATCTACAGTAGTAGAGACCCACATAATTCGCTTAACGATTACCGTGTATCATTCATTGTGTATTGATAACCAATTGATTTATGTTTAGGATGATGGGGTGCAGCCTGCTACGGTAACTAGGAAGGTATTCCTGGACATCACCATTGACGGCAAATTAGAAGGACGAATTATTATTGGTGTGTTTGGCAACATTGCACCAAAGACAGTTGCTAACTTTGTCGCTCTTGCTTCTGAAAAACACGAACAGGAAGGTTATAGGAACAGTGTCTTCCATCGGATCATCAAAGGGTTTATGATGCAAGGTACATAAGATATTCATAGTAAACAATATAATAATAATAATAATAATAATAATAATATTATTATTATTATTATTATTATTATTATTATTATTATCATTATTATTATCATTATTATTATTATTATTATTATTATTATTATTATATTATTAATATTATTATTATTATTACGATCATTATCATTACTTCAAAGAAAAAATTATTATTATCTTTATCATCATTATAACAATAAATATTCCTTATTAATTAAAATCACCATCATTAAGCCCTGATTATGGTAAGAATTATTTATATAATAATTCAACCTGAAATTATGAATATTTATAATTATAGGAGGAGATTTCACAAAAGGAAACGGCTTTGGAGGAAGAAGTATTTATGGTGATACTTTTCCCGACGAAAATTTTATATTAGATCATTATGGACCCGGATGGGTTGCAATGGCGAATGCAGGTAACGTTTAATGGAACAATGCATGTTTTATATCGTTTTATAGAAGTGAATGACTTGAACGTAATAACCTTTGTGTTCTAATCGCGTTAGTTTTAGTGCCCGTGGGCGTCCGAACAACTATAGTTTATCTTAATTAAAAAACGCGATATAAAATCTTATATTCATATTTATTATTATTACTTTGCCTTTGTCTGTAGGTCCCGACACAAATGGGTCACAGTTCTACATCACTACTGTTCAGACGCCATGGCTTGACGGGACACACACTGTATTTGGTAAGGTTCTTGAAGGCATGGATGTAGTGACAGCTATGGAAAATGTGGAAACCGATGAGAATGACCGACCAATCAAACAAGTTGTTATTTTTGACTGCGGAGTGATGGATATTCCAAAACCATTTGAGGTTGAGAAATCATGACATTTCTGAAGAAAAAACAACTGTAGGCCTAGCGTTACGGTACGCTAACTCTACTCCTTGGATATTGTTGAAAAGTTCAAAAAAACTACGTAAACGTGTACGTGAACGCGTACGTTGGAGGGACAATAGGCCCTACGTGTTTGTGGGACATGCGCGTTCCTGGCCCTGTTCTGATTGGTCACTTGTTAAATTTGATTGGCACTTTGTAAAGGTCCATTTGTAGTTGTAGAGGGTACGGGAGTAATGGTTTCTTTGAAATATGAACTCGATGATTTCTTGATTTTAATCTAATTGGCCGTCAATTTATTATTTCATTTACATTTCTGTCCCATTTAACTAACAAAGGTCGTGTAATAGTAGAAAAGGAGTGCAACGACCTATATGGATTACACTGTAAATGGGCAACCCAGTAGCATAATCATTTTTTTCAATAAATAAATTTGGAATTTTATACATCACTTTTGACAATTATTTTTTACTTATTTCTTAGAAATTCTATTAAAATAGTACAAAATACTGTAAAATAAGCCTATATGTAATTTCAAAAATAATGTGTAATGTGTAATGGTACTGAAAGTAGGTCTATATGATAATACCTGATAACAAACAACATTGAAGGCTTTCAACAATAGGACGGGTTTTTAATTAAAAAAAAAAGTTTGCAAAAGACTTTTGTAGTTGTTCTCTTATTCGACATTAGGACACAAAGAGCCACTAGTTGACGAAATAATTGGCTTCTTTAGCCCGACGTGGGGGAAAGGGTTGTGGAGGGGTGGTCCATGGTTCCCCGCTGGGAGTGCTGTGTGTCCCCCTCTGGACCCCACGCTGGCGTCCTTACTGAATACTCATAATACTACCACGTCCAAATACAAAGAATATAGTACTAAGAAATCATATTATCTCTGATATGATAACACACGGTATAACACGAGGCATGTAAGAATACTTAGTTTCCCACGCAAAGGGGCATGGAATGTATTGAATTTAATAACAGGCACCGTCATTACTGGTCTTTCGATCACATTGATAGAGCAACATAATATAAATGGCATAATCACTATTGCAATCCCAATTACATTCAGGTTATGGTCTAAAAAACGAGAATCAATTGCCATATGCTGAACGGCTAAGACTTGATCAGCTATCAAAAATATTACTGTAGGCCTATACTGTAGACCTACCTGTTGTAATAACTATTTTAATTAAATGTACAGTACCAGTTGTTCACGTTTATGCACACCACGAGACGCACCTGGTAAAACCCCTGTGGTCCTTCGTCAGTAGGCTCACTGATGCAGATTAAAATAACACGGTTAAAGTGGGAGGGGAAAGGAGATTAAGGCACCTCCACCAGACAGGCTTAGCCTCCCTTCCCACTCCTTGTTTTTTTTTTTTTTTTTTTAGAGCCTCCCTGGACCCTACTAAATAAAGCCTCTCCCGGAAACTGTCAGACAGCTGATCCAGATTATAACCAATAGGAGATATGCCAAATGATTTTTAAATTTAGGCCTGGCTTATAAAATCATCAATGTTATCTTTCTATCGACATATAAATATTCGGTTATCGTTGAGGAACAACTTATTATATTTGTCTTTGAAATAATATACAGTACCTACCCGCCACTTGATTGATACCAAGAAAGGTGCATATACGGACCATAATAAGTAGCATGCCCATTAACTCTGGCGGCGTTGGCTGCATAAACACAAATCCTTGGCATCAAGGAAGGAGCGGACGTGGCAACTTTAAAGGCCATTAATCCTTCCTGGCACAAAGGGAGAATAGGCCGACATGTTTTATTTAGGCCCTATTTCATTTCATTTTCATTTATTCATCGAAAAAACCTCCAAACAAGGAGAAGATAGAACATACAAAACACTTTAAAAATACATTTACAGAGTTAATTGGAAATAAATTTAGGATGGAAATAAACAATGTTAAGATAATTATGCTTAATTGCGCTTTTTTAAATTTTTACATAGGCTCTACTTTTATTGTAGGCTTTTATTGACATTTTTTTAATTCTGTTTTTTATTTATTTATTTTTTGTTGTCATCGCATTGTCCTTCCGTTAATGGATGTGAATTGGAATGTAAAAAAAATGATAACAACGATAATAATAACTATTGAAAAAAAAAATACCAGAGTATCACCTTGCACTATAACCATGCAGGTAATACTGTAGGCCTATATAACATAGGACTATATTATATATTCTGAATACTATAACTGTATTATCATGGATTAATCAAGGATTTATATTACTCTGCCAAAAATCCGTAGCACAGATCTAGTATTTTTTTTTTCAATCAAAAATTGAAGAACGAGAAAATATATATCTTGCCGATCTCCGAATAAATACTTAGCTCTATCCACACTATGAAACTTTTACAACAAAAATGTAGTATGCCTATATATGGCCATAATGTCATCATGTCTATACTGTATTTAGACATGCCACGTGATTTTGTCAATTCAATTTATTGGATCCACTTTTGATACAGTGGCACTCATACAAAATGTATGGTGCATCCAAGACACATACAGAAATGAAATACTGTACTGTACATATAGGCCTACCTCTTTCTATTTATTGCATACAAAAGAACAAAACGAATACAGGTACTGTAGTATGCAATAGTAGCCAAGAAAAATAGCCAAAGCTAATCAAGCTTGAGCCCCTTTCAAATCAAACATCTTGTACAATACATATGATAAAATATAAATAAATAGTATAAAAAAATGTAAAAGGCATCATTCTTAATATTCATTAAACAAAATGTCTTTAATTTTGTTCTTGAGGTGGTCTCTTATAGAAAACGAAAATTAACTTAAATTTGCAAAATGCAAAGAAAAACGGAATACACTTTTTTTTTTATAAGAACCAGTAAATTTTTGCCCAGGCTCAGTGTTCTTATTTTTTGGCCAATTTCAGGCTCAAAATGTTCTTATTTTGTTCTTATTTTACACACTTTTCAAACATAGAAAATTATTATTGTACAGCAGTATAATAACTGTACTGGGAAGTGAAAGCGGCCCTGCAAAAAATGGCCCCTGAAAGAAAGGCCCAGCAAAAAATGGCCCCGGTTAAAAAATGGCCCCAAATGAAAGGTAGGTACACCTACTGTACTGTATTATAAAGGATATTACCGTACATAGTCACAACTATTGCACATAAGGTACAGATATAATTTTTTGGTTTTTGTAGTTTGACATTCTACCTCAGCCTTAATTTGTTCTTAATTTTTAAGCAATTTCAGCCTCAGTGTTCTTATAAAAAAAAAAGAAGTGTATTGCACACAGAGGCACAGGTAGAATTTGATAGCCTGGATAAGACGCCTGATTGGCTGGCCGCTTTTCGTTTTCAGGCCTAAAAGTAAAAACAGCGTAAAACATTGGCTTTCTTATAATAATGATCAAACATATTTTTTGCCTCTCTATTGATTGAAAATGTCTAACTTTCTTGATCCTTACGAACGAACAATTCGATCTTTTAATGAACATTTGAGGGTTGTTCAATTATTAAAAGAGAAATGGTATACTCACTTGATATACAGTACTTTAGAAACTACCCTTCACCTCAAGTGTTGAGTTCCAGACATTTTCTGACCTTGATGAATAAGTAATAGGAAATTATCCTGGAGAAAATTGACACCGACATAAATAGCGTTTACGATACTTGCCACGTTGCTAGGCTTGTGTTGGAATCTGAGCTGCAGTTGCGGTACCACTTCACCATCCGTCGCAGTCCCGCCATGATGTATCCGAAAGCCACGGCTCCGTTGTTCGTTTACCTAATTTCAACCCTTTCAATTATCAAAGTAAGTAAAGATTTAATTGATATCGATTTGCAAATGTGTCAGGTAAAATTTACTTTCGTTACCATAGTGACATTTTTTTTTTGCAGATGTGATAGTTTCGATAAGCAATTCCCTTTTGTTTGAATAGAAAGCACCTATACTTAAGTTAGTCTATTATTATTTATTATTCTAAAATTATTCTAGTGCAAATTTGATGATCGATGGTATTTGGAAAGCTATTTTCCCAGAAGCGAATACTAAAAAGTGTAAATCACAAGGCATCACGCCAGCATAGCACTTCCTCCTACTGACGATTGAAAAGTAGCAACGTGGCAGAAACACAAAATCACCAAGAAGTAAACTAGTTCAAAACTGTATGTGAAGACATGCCAGCAAAAAATATTAACGAGATAAACAGGATTAATTTAAAGCAGTATTTTACTTATTTTCAAGTGATATGTGATAAAATGAACTCAATTTGTTAATCATCAGTTATATTCATGTACTAACCAATTAAGTGACAAAACACCTGTGATTTGCTCATAATTGTGTGGGTGAAGAGGTATGAGATCTTCATGCTCATATGGATGTGATATGATATCTTAATGACCATGTGCATTTCACAAAAAATTGTCACATAAACCTAAATATTTTCTACACAAAAAGGCGCTATAACAACAGTGCTCATATCAGGACGCTAAAATGACAGAAGGTAGAAGACCCACCTCACCCCCACTCAAATTAATAATAATTTATTGACATTCCGATACACCATTTATATCGGTGGAGCTCAACAAGTTCAAGATAGCATTGACAGCGAGAGGTCGCATGTTCGAGTCCCGCCACAGTCATTTTATTACACAATTTCTTTATTCATTTATTACAGGACTACATTCGTTGAGAGC